TAGTAACTTTTGAAGACTGTTTCGAAGAGGGCTTTTTCAATTAGGTGTCTGAATCCTCCAAAAGGATCCATGAGGTCTCCACGTTTCCTGAACTTTTATGCATAATATTATCTATTTGCACATATGCATTCTGCTGGAAGAAGGATCACAAGAATAACTGGAAGACTTCATTGGAGTCCCTGCCAACCAATATACAAAATCACAACTTTGCAGCACATCTTTCTAAGCATACCTTTCCCTCACAGCCTTCAGGGAAAGAAATGAAACGCTCTTTCTAGAAGAGAAACAAGGAGCAGAGATACGTTAAGAGATAGGTACAATTTGGGTCAGTAGGTAGAACTCAAATTTCATTTCAGGACAGAGGCAACCATGTGGTTCCTAATTGCATGTCTAGGCAATAACAAATGAATCACACGGAAGCACTGGATGTCTCAGAAGGAGCCACCTCAGGAGACAGAGATAAGAAAACTGGACCCAAAAGTGCACTCTTAGCCTAAAGCAAGGTGGCTAAAGTAATTTCAAAAGATTGAAAGTTGATGAGTAGAATGAATTAGGAACGTGGCAAGCATGTGAAAAATAAAGGTATAGCAGATACCTAGGCAAAGGTCAGAGGCCCAGTAAACACCCAATGAATGAACATTTGAGCATGGATTTTTTTAAAAAATCACAATGAATAAAGGACTACTGTGCAAAATATAAAGCATTCAACAAAGCTCAACGACAAAAAAAGAATCACATCAAAAAATAGAAAAGAACAAGTACTTCCTTGAAGATATACAAATGGCAAATCAGCATAAGAGTTTATCATCACTTATTATCAGGGAAGTACAAAGCAACAATCAGATATCATCTCACACCAATAAGAACGGTCCTTATCAAAGAGACCAGAAAAAAGACAGTGTTGGTGGGGATGCAGAGAAAAAGGAACCCTCATTCATTACATGGTGAGAATGTAAACTGCTTCAACCTCCTTGGAAAACAATATGGAGACCTCTAAAAATATTAAAAATAGAACTCCCATATGACACAACAATTCCAATTTTTAGCATCGGTCTCAGGAACTCAAACAACATTAATGTAGAACCAGAGAAATAGTGCCAAGCACTGAGCACATGATTGCAATCAGGAAGCCCAGGTTCAATTTCTGGCACCACAGGGTCTCCAGAGCACTGTTCAGAGTGACCCCGCCCCCTCAAAAAAATGGAGTACAGATCTAGGAAGAGACCCCACAGGGTGTGGCCCCAAAACAATAAAGCAAAAAGAAAATTGTTTAAAGTTATATGCATACCTATGTTCACTTCACGCTATTTACAATAGTCCAGGTATAAAATCAACTCATTTGCCCAATGACATGATGAGTGGTAAAGTGGTAACGAAAGAAATACTGAAATACTACTCAGCTCTAAGATAAAATCTTACTTTTTGCAACAAGTTAGATGGAGCTGGGCAGAAAGTCATATTAAGTGAAATTTGTCAGAGGGATGACAAATACAAGATCTCACTGTGGTATATAAACAAAGCAAGAGAATAAATGGTAGCTGGTAACAATGATCCCTTGGATTTTGAGGCTTTTGGTTATTGGTGATTGTGGTGGTAGTAGTCGTGGGGAGGTTGGAGGGGAGGAGAGGTTGGAGGTTGGGGCTGTATGCAGCTGTGCTCAGGGATCATTCCTGACAGTGCTTGGGAGACCTTTTACAGTGGAAGGATCAAAACTCCAGTCAACTGTATGAAAGGCAAGTAAGTACCTGCCCCTTTAATACATGACTGATGTTACCAAGCAGGGGTGGGGCAGGATGGGGGAGGGAATGAGAATGGCCTAGACATGAACCGTGGTAGAGGATTTGGGGCATCTGGTAGTGATGGAGGGATAGTAATTTTGCGAATCATAATCATTAATGCAAATACAATCATGTTGCCTTCTCTACAATGAAAAATATAAGTTTGGTGTGTGTGTGTGTGTGTGTGTGTGTGTGTGTGTGTGTGTTTTTAATAGCAGAATGAGTAGTCCTGGGAGTTTTATCTAGCTGTCTTGGGTATCAAACACAGCCATGCTATGCACATAGAAAATACTGAGCTGAAAAGACATGGGAGAAAGAGAGGATGACTTCAAACATTCTTGGAGAGATGCTACATATGTGATGGCTCTATGAACATGGGGTCACTTATGGGAATATGGATTTAAAAAAACCAAGTCAAACTCAATTCCAGGGTTTGCCCCTCAAACAAACATATATGACACCAAACCCATCAACAATTTTGGACTCAATTTTGGGCTGATCTTCACAATCCATGACCCGGGCATATTTCTGTGATTTTATACTTTGTCTCAAATAATTTGGAAAAGACCCATGAAGCTAAAAGTCTCAATGTTTTCTTTCCTTAAGCCCTAGCTATTTCGCAATGACACACCCAAATGGCTCAGTATATGACGGCAGCGCTCACTTGACGACTAGACTGCAGATGTAATTCAAGCTTCTCATTGTTCTGTGATCAGTCAGCTGGGTACCCCATGACTGTGGTTGTGTCAATATTCATAATTCATTGTTACAATAATAAAACTTTTGACACTATGATTTACTTTTACATAAATTTATATTGTCCTCATATCTACTTTGATATTTAAAAAGTAAAGTCTGTTGCTGCTCATTAAACCTGGAATGGATAGGGGTGAGGCTAAAGGAAATGAATAGAAGGATGTAATTTATTTTTGTAATGGGAGCTAATAAGAACAGGTAGTTCTGGGTCTTCTGAGCAACCAAAATCATCTGGTAATTTTCCAGTTCACACTTTCTTAAATTGTTTTTCAGTATAGAAGAAACACAGAAGTTAAATGAAGGAGTCTGATGACCAAAATGTTCCCTAATATTTTTTTGCTATTTTTTTCTTGTAAGTAGCACCTGTTAATCAAATTGAGGAGCATTTCAAACCCGGGCAGATTACAAATGAGCCATATAAAATGAAAGACAATGTAAGTCACTCATATCAAAAAAATTTGGGTCATTTTTTTATAACCCACATTAGGAAGCAAATGGTGGCTATAGCAGGGTCCAAATTATGAGTGGTGAGACCAGAAACTAGTTTTCCAAGTGACTATGTCTACCAAAGATGAAACATAATCACTACCTGGGAGAGATAACTGGATAAAATTGTTTCACAACTTCACTTTGAACACTAGCTCTCCATACATATGCCTTCCAAGTACAGACACACACACACACACACACACACACACACACACACACACACAAAACTATGTGAATTTACAAACTAATAATCATCATTCTTGGAATAAAATTCTATCATCCTCCGTGCCAGTAAACTGTAGACAAACTTTAAAGAGTTGTTCCCACTCTCAGCTGTAATGACAAATCAGTTTTGGATATAAATTCACAGTCCTCCTGTTCATTACATTCATATTTTAAGTCTAGGAGTTTTATAGTCACTCCAAACTTCCCCACCACGATTGAACACAAAACAGATTCATTCATTCATATCTTCACTACCACATTCTCACTAGGCATAAACAGTCTTCTTTTTTTTTTGCTTTGAATTCTGTTTTGGGGGCCACATCCATTGATACTTACTCCTGGCTTAGAGCTCACAGATCATTCTGGTAGCGTTTGGGGGACATATGAAGAACTGAGGATTGAACCCAGATCAGCTTTGTACAAGTGCTCTATCCAATAAACTATCTCTCTACCCCCAGTTCTTTCAAATGTAAATGATTTGTATAAGTTACCAATAAATGGGCATTCTATGGAATAGAAATGTCTAACTTGGAGTATCTCAGTATTTCTTTCCAGTTGCATATGCCCTCCTGAGTTGCTTACATGGTAATCAATTTCAAAAACTCTTTCCCTCTTTATGAACCCACAGCATTTTGGTATTATTTTACAAAAGCTATATCCAACCAGAGTCATTTGCAAATAAAGCACATGAACTTTTCCCAAGCTGCTGTCTTAATCTCACAATGAGCAACACTTACCCACTCAGTCCTTTGGGGTCAGAATTAAACAATTTTGTTAGCACTTACTCTCCTAACCCACAGCCATCAACAGAGGATCTTCACCCACATTTCACTATAAAATGTTAGTAGTCAACAAAAACTGTCTTCAGAGATAGAATGCCTTGGTAAGTATGGGTAATCCCAAGAGTTCATGACCTCTGCCGGAAGAGGGTGTACAATGAAGAAAAAGAAGATCCTTAAGAAGCAATGAGATTTGTCCACAGCCAACCTTCTCCGGGGCAAGGTTGAAAACACCAAAAAGTAGCATTAACAAAACTGCATAGAGTCTACAGCTGCACAATGTGCTTCGATGTGAGAAACATAATTTTCTTCCTACTTTATCTTACAATAGATCTGGCAAGGTATGCTTTCAAAAGAGGCATTACAAATTAACAATCTTCCAAAAAAACAATCACACACTTTCACCTCCACCTCTATTAAACCTACTATCTTCCTGAGCTTTATTCCCTCCAAATAGATAAACACAGACAACTTAACACCCCAAAGTCAACAAAGGACAACATTCCAGTGTGCGTTGGGGTATCCAAAGAAATACTTTTCTGCAAATACACAATAGAACTGAAAACTGTGGTTGTTGATCTGTAAAAATGTTTTTGTCTCAACAAAAGATGATTCAAGCAAGCTCATAGAGAGGGAAGAGGACTGAGTCCTACTTGTGCCTTTTTGTGTTTTTCATCTGCTTGAGCTTTTTGCAAGTGGCTGTGCTTGCCTAGATAGGGAATTCCTTTGCCCTCCTATCTTGCCACAAGTGAAGTACAATAAAGAATAAAATGTGTTGATGTTGCACCTCTTCCAAGAGGTTGAAATAGCTGAATGTTACCACATGAATCCTCACAACACCCCTGTGAGGTAGGTAGCTGGAGAGTACTGTTACCCCCACTGTACAGGTGGGAGAAATGAGGCACACAAGAGTTAAGGGACTTGCCCCAAATTACACAGCTAGTCACCAACAGAGCATAAAATAAAACTGATACTGATTAGCACCTAGCATAGTGCATTGCACATAGCAGGTGTTCGCTGAACTGGATTTTTATTTTATTTCTATCTCAACAAACGATATTACACACAGAAAATACAAGCAACCACCCTGAAACATTAATGTCCTACTTTTTTTTTTCTGATGATATCCCTCATCACTTCCAATCCCAGTGGATAAAGGATGTTAAAAAATCCATCTTGCCCTCAGGTTGAAGAGGATCCCCATCAGCGCTCAGGATGACCTGCTCATTTTGCCTCCTCACAATATTAGTTTTCTAATGAAAACAAAATGAATTTCAGGAACCATGCTGACGTGGGTGGTTTTTGTGGTTCTTTTTTTTTTTTCCTATTTGTTTTCAATGGAGCATCTGAATGGTTCTGTATTTCATTTGTACAAAAAGAAAAAAAGAAAAAAGAAAGAAAGAAGGCTGCTATAGTCGGTCCACTGGGCTTGAGAGAGGTGTGTTAAGCACGAAGACCTTCTCCCAGCTCTATGGTTTTCTACCTGGGAAACTGGAATCCCAAGGAGTGGCAGCTCCAGCAGACAAGAATCAGCAAGGCAACAGTCAGTCACTTGCACTGTTCATGTTCTGTGTAGTCATCCATGTCCACATCAGAATCAAAGAGGGAGCGTCCTGTGAAATCCGTGTCGGGGGTTCTGGAAAAACTGTTCTCCGCACCCTCATCTTCAAAGGTCTCTGTCCTTGAGTAAAAGCTGAAATCTAGCAGGGGCGTGTGGGTTTTGCTGCCTTCGCTGCTCTCCTCAGACTCATAGATGGTGTTGTCATCATCGTGGTGCCACTCTGGCCAGAATTTCCTCCGGATCCTCTCACAGTACATGGCCAGGTTGATCAGCTCGCCTGCAAGAAGAGGAGCAGTAAGAAGACCGACAGTTGGCTGGTTCTCAAAGGCAACAATCCATCAGCAAACCACCCAGCATTTTAGGAAATGGGAGGATGAGGAGGACAGCAGAAGCACTGTTTTTACATTGAGGTGCTCCCAGAATAGTTCATTTTATGGAGGCTGAAGCAGCAGGACAGCAAGTAGGGCATTTGTCTTGCACACAGCTTACCTGGGTTCGATCGCCAGTACCCCATATAGTTCCCCGAGTCTATCAGAAGTGATTACTGAGGTCAGAGACAGAAGTAAGCCCTGAATACTGCTAGGCATGGCCCCCAAACAAAAACAAACAAACAAACAAAAAAAGAATAGTTCATTTTTAACATGCATGGTAAAAAAGGTGAGTGGAAAGAATTATTCAGAAACTAAACTGGATGAAATTTAAGAGTGAGTCCAGTGATGATAAAAGAGGGGAGGTGGAATTATCAGAAATGGCAGCCGCACTACCAAAACAACTTTGTGAAGCATTTTATTATTTTAGGTTTGCAAAAAAAGGAAGTAATGCTTCTAGTAGTTCATATTTAAACATATAATGTGCAAAGATATAACAACTACTAGATATTAAGTCAGTCAAGAGTAATCATCATTCTACAAATATTTAGTATTATTCAGGGTGGGTACTATGCTAAGTAATTGAAAAAAATTATGTAAGGATGGAAATTTTTTGAGGGGTCACACTCAGCGATGCACAGGGGTTACTCCTGGCTTTGCACTCAGTAATTACTTCTGGGGGTGCTCGGAGGGGACCATATGGGATGCTGGGAATTGAAGCTGGGTCAGCCATGTGCAAGGCAAATGCCCTATCCTCTGTGCTATTGCTCCAGCCCCCAAGGATGGAAATTTTTCCCTGGAAAAAAATCATAAAATGTGTAATTCAGAATTGTCTTTTTTTTGGTTGGGGGGGTATTATTGGGGGATATGGGCCACACCTAGCAGTGCTCAGGGGTCACTCCCAGCAGTGCTCAAGGGACCATATGTGATGCTGGGGATTGAACCCAGGTCCACCGCATGTATGGCAAGCCACCCACCCAGTGTACTATCACTCTGGTCCAAACTCAGAAATGTCTTATAGATAAATATGCCTGCAAATGCATTTAATAAATTAGGAATTTAAAAAAAATAATAATTCCAGAGCTGCACCACAGTTGCACTTCTTTTTTATGTGAATCAAAGGAAAGCTTTGGTGACATCACCGCAACCATCCAGGCATTTGTCGAAAATATGAGTGTTTGGCTGTCATAGTCTTCCCAAGTGAAAAATAAAGGAAGAGGGTTAGTGTTTTCCCTTTGATCCACCAGATGGCAACACTGTTTGTAAATATATAATTTGGCACTCTCTGACAGAAATTTATCATTTAAAAAGCGTCTAGATAGGCTTGCTCTTCAAGCCCATATTCTCCCTTGACCACGTATTGCACTACTTGTCCTTATGTTTCTTTGCTGCCATGTTCTCCCTTGAATACATTTCCCCTTTTACCTTTCCTCTCATACCTTTCTAAGTAAGCTTCAATTTTAAAAAGTACCTTACTTAATTTAAAAAAAAATCCTAAATTTTCTGTTATCTAAACATCCACTTCATGTTAAGATAATTCATGACTATTGCAGAAAATTGGAAAATATAAATAAAAGAACAATGAAACCAAAGAGATGCACATGCTATTGCATGAAGGAAACCCAAGGTCTTTTATTTTTAATCTATTTTTATTTGAGTATCATACCCAGCAGTACTCAGGAATTACTCCTGGCTCTGCACTCAGGAAGTACTCTTGGCAGTGCACAGAGTACTATAAGGGGCTTCGGGGGGGTGGTCAATCCCAGACTGGCTATGTGTAAAATATGTGCCTTACTTGCTGTACTATTGCCCCAGCTCCAAGGAGCCCAGGATTCAATCAATAGCACTGCCTGGTCCCTGAACACCTACCAGAACAACCCAGAGCACTGTACTAGGAGTACTCCTAGTATCACCAGGGGTGGCCCCAAAAACAAAATAAGAAAATTATTATCAATAATCCCATTTGTCATAACATTTATATTTCTCTTTCCAGAAATTAATATTTATACCTATGTCCAAGGGCTGGAGCGATAGCACAGAGGGTAGGGCGTTTGAATTGCATGGGCTGAACCTGGGTTTGATTCCTCCACCCCTCTCAGAGAGCCCGGCAAGCTACCGAGAGTATCTCACCCGCACAGCAAAGCCTGGCAAGCTACTTGTGACGTATTCGATATGTCAAACACAGTAACAACAAGTCTCACAATGGAGATGTTACTGGGCCCTCTCGAGAAAACTGATGAACAAGGGGAGGACAGTGCTACAGTGCTACCTATGTTCAAATCTCCACTCACTACACAGTGTTAACCATACATGGTTTTTTACCTTATTTTTCCCAATTTAACCGTGTAAAATGAAAATTTTCCTATTTCACACTGCCAAATTTTTCCATTTGACAGTGCTCAGTGTTTCACTGTACCAACAGAATATGCTTTCACTTTGTTTTACAGATTTCTTATCACTGACCAGGTAAACTGCCTCTGCAGAAACTGTTCTATTGATGACAGTCTGCAACTACTTGATTTTCTATTCAAAAAAGCAACCTGGTCTTATTTTGAAAAAGTAGAAGTCTTCACAAAGAAATGGTTCTATATAAATAAAGCAAAAAATATCTAGAATCATATCACGATCACGATGATCCTGTTGTTCGTCGATTGCCTCGAGCAGGCACCAGTAACATCTCCTTCATCCTAGCCCTGAGATTTTAAAAAGTGCCACATTTAAGGCTCTTTCAGGGTTAGGAGAATGAGACCCATTATTGTTACTGGTATTTGGCAAATTGGGTATGGGAAGTTTGCCAGACTCTGCCGTGCGGGCAGGATACTATCAGTAGCCTGCCGGGTTCTCCAAAAATGAGATAATAAGGCGGCTGGAGTGATAGCACAGTGGTAGGGCATTTGCCTTGCGTGCAGCCAGCCCAGCCGAGCCGGGTTCAATTCCTCAGCCCCTCTCGGAGAGCCTGGCAAGTTACCAAGAGTATTCAATATGCCAAACACAGTAACAAGAAGTCTCAAAATGGAGACGCTACTGGGCCCGCTCGAGCAAATCGATGAACAACGGAAAGACAATGTACATACACACACCCCCACATCAGAATCATATCAACCTAAGATAATTATATTAACATTTTGTTCTCATTTCTTCTTCCTGTACCCACGGGATAGTGCCAGCTTTTATTAAAGAAAAAGAAGGGCAAGTAAAATAATGCTCCTGGAGCTGTTCAGAGCAAGTTAATCCGAGAAGCAGGCAGCCCTATTCTCATTTCTTCCCATATTTTCTTATTTATTATCACTATTGATTTGGAGATGAGCGCTAGACTAGACCCATTCCCAACTGGATTCCACGGGATGTCAAAACAACATGTAGCCGCCCACCTACGAGATGGTCGAACTTCTTCATCAAGACCTTGAACAAACGGTTTGATGCTATTCGTGTTCCTGGAGTGAGCAGATGCCATTGGGCTACTTTAGCACACAACAGGGTCAAATGCAGATGTTACTGGTGCCCACTCGAGAAAAATCAATGAACAATGGGATGACAAGTGATTATAAGTGATTATCACTATTATTACCTATCACGCCAATTACAATATTAACTTTAAGCAGTTTCCTATGCCATCCAAATTTTGCAAAACTTTAAAACTGCTGTTGTCCTGCTTAAGTAAACATATATTTTCCCGAAAGAAAACAAACCTCCTGCTTCCTGTAAACCTGCCTGTAGAGCTTGTATCAGCTCCAGATCATCCTTTCCACATACTCAGATCCCAGCACTGTAGCACTGTTGTCCTATTGTTCATCGATTTACTTGAGCAGGCACCAGTAACGTCTCCATTGTGAGACTTGTTGCTACTGTTTTTGGCATAAATCGAATACGGCATGGGGAGCTTGCCAGACTTTGTCGCATGGGCAGGATACTCTCGGTAGCTTGTTGAACACTCTGAGAGGGATGGAGGAATCGAACCCGGGTCAGTCGCATGCAAGGCAAACGGCCTACTCTCCATCCCTCTCAGAGAGCCCGGCAAGCTACACAGAGTATCCTGCCTGCACAGCAGAACCTGGTAAGTTCTCTGTGGCATATGTGATATACCAAAAATAGTAACAACAAGTCTCACAATGGAGATGTCACTGGTGCCCACTCGAGCAAATTGATGAACAACAGGGCAACAGTGCTACAGTGCAGATCCCAGCAGCCCAAGCACTATGAAGGATCCTTTCTGGTTGCTACTCCATTTTCAGTCAACTTGCTGAGAGGCTGTCATCACTGCCTCTCTGTGGAAGATGCAAGCCAAACTTTCCCTTTTTTTTTTTTTTATCTCCCTTGGAAAAGCAGTTAGCCAGCCTTCCCTAGGAGTCACAGGTAACCAAGACTGATGAAAATGGGCAGCAAAAAAGAGTGTGGATTGGGGACAAAAGCAACCGATGCTGGCACGGATGTGGCGAGAAAGGGACCCTCCTTCACTGTTGGTGGGAATGCCGACTGGTTCAGCCCTTTTGGAAAATAGTATGGACGATTCTCAAAAAATTAGAAATTGAGCTCCCATTTGACCCAGCAATACCATTCCTGGGAATATATTTCAAGGAGGCAAAAAAGTATACTCTAAGTGACATCTGCACTTATTTGTCATTGCAGCAGTCTTTACAATAGCCAGAATCTGGAAAAAACCTGAGTGCCCAAGAACAGATGACTGGTTAAAGAAACTTTGGTACATCTACACAATGGAGTACGATGTAGCTGTTAGAAAAGATGAAGTCATGAAATTTATATACAAGTGGCACTACATGGAAAGTATCATGCAAAGCCAATGAGTCAGAAAGAGAGGCATAGACATAAAAAGATTGCATTCACCTGGGGGACATAAAGTAACAAAATAGGAGATTAATACTCAAGAATAGCCGAGATCAGTACCAGGAGG